GGGGGTCTGTATTGAAAAATCAATTCGAGGGGGGGGTGGGGGGGGGTCTGAATTGAGCGATCAATTATTAGACCCGGACGTCCCAATACTTGCTTCGCAAGACAAACTCAAGGTATCCCCTAAAGGGCTACCTTTCGTGACAAAGCTGCACAAACAGGAACCCATGGAACCTTGCCTCTGGTTCTACGGGCTCCATGGGGACCTCACGCGCTGTTACCTGCCAAACGAGTCTACATCCGAAGAAAAGCAAGCAATCTCTCAAGCCAGTCATGATTTGCAGTTTGACCAATCTCACCTGGGGATCTTCAACGCTGCTTTGGCCTCGGCGATTCCAAGAATCCCAGCTTGTTGTGCATATGTTCATATCGTTGCAACAAACCACATGGTTTCCCTCTGGGCCAGTTTGGATCCTCCACCTACCCGTGGTGGCCCCTCGGCCCTCCATGACGTTCGGTGCAAAGTTTGGAGTATCCGCACTCCTGTGGGAGCTTTGTATGAAGGCGCCTTACGTTGGTCGCGTGCGAAGGCACGACCGTGTCGGTCTGACAAGTCCCAAGCTGCTGGTTGTTCTCTGCATGGGCATTTTCTATTATTCTTTCGAAGTACCGGATTTTTTCATGTTCGTGGTGCTGGAATGAGGTTCCCGCTGCCTTATGCATTTGTCTCACGCAATTGGCATTTAGTTTGTCGTCGGCATCATGGACTACCTCTAAAAATTGATGAGTCGAGTTGACGGTGGTTCGTCTACAGCCATAAACCTCCGGTTGTGGGCTCATCATCATGAGCCTACATATCTGCTGTCCGGTAGTGGACACGCCTTAGCCTGAGTGACCAATCGCTCCTATGTAGACCAGCCAACTTCCCTTCCTTGCTTTCCGCTCATAGCAATTCAAAGGCCACTGCACTTTACCCCCAGCATGGACAAAAAAAACTCGTAACCCCTCGTTTGCTGGAGCGCCTCTGTGTTCAGTAGGACTTTCAGCCCTACAAACACAGTCACATGCAAAAGCTTGTGTGAAAAACATAGTACGTTGTAAAAACATATCTACACCGTTGCATATATATGTCATATATGTATATATATCTGTGTGTGTACCCTCTGGAGTCACGAGATTCCGTTCGGATTGGATTACTGTATGTATTCGTGCAGGGGGTGCCAGGGGCCATGCAAGTCTGGCACTAACAAAGGCGTTTGCATTGGTCTGTGGTATCAACTCGGGACGCCAAGTTAACGTACCTGCATTTGAAGTTTGAGAACCTAAGTATGGCAAAAGCTGTCCAATACGTTGTTTTTGCACTCAGCGTCTCTTCGGTAAAGGGCGAGTGCAGCGGCGATTCACCTTGGATTGTTTGGGCCTTTCTGAGCTCCGCAGGCCTGCACGACCCGTCGTCACCTTGTCGTCGTCGCTCGTTTTTGTGGCTTATAGGTTTTGAAGGACTCAGACTTCAACTTACTCCCTGGAACCTTGGGCGGTTTACTTCGGCCGGCGTGTGGCAACCGCTTTCAAATCAGCACGCATAGTCTTGAGTGTGTCTGGCTTCATGCCAGCCCAGGGTGACCCCGCAGAGTGGCCCCTGTGGACCCGTTAAACGGGGGTTTGTCGAACGTATCCCATGCCCGGATACAAAGCAGCTCGCAGCGAGCGTAGGTGGCCTGGGCCAAAGTTGTTTGCCAGGATTGGCAGCCTTCGGGCACGCCATGAAGTGACCGTAGCGGTCAGTAGTAGGCGGCCTTCGGGCACGCCGCCGCAACAACGTGGTCGCAGCGACCAAAGCCTGTTCAAGATTCGTTGGAGTCTGTCGGAGCCTTAGAGTGATGAGTTCCTCCCCACCTGTTCCCGCTCCAACGCCTCCCCTCGGGGAGGCGTGTGTGTGTGTACCTCTGGAGTCACGAGATTCCTTTCAGATTGGATTACTGTATGTACTTTTGCAGGGGGTGCCAGGGACTACGCAAGTCTGGCACTAACAAAGGCGCTTGCATTGGTCTGCGATATCAACTCGGGACGCCGAGTTGACGTACCTGCAATTGAAATTTGAGACCCTAAGTATGGCAAAAGCTGTCCAATACGTTGTTTTTGCACTCAGTGTCTCCGCGGTGAAGGGCTAGCGCAGCGGCGATTCACCTTGGATTGTTTGGGCCTTTTGAGCTCCGCAGACCGTCGTCACCTTGTCGCCGTCGCTCTTTTTGTGGTTTATAAGTTTTGGAGGACTCAGACTTCAACTTGCTCCCTGGAACCTTAGGCGGTTTACTTAGGCCGGCGTGTGACAACCGCTTTCAAATCAGTACGCGTAATCTCGTGTGTGTCACACTCCGTTTCCAAATCCAAAGAGTTTTTGGTTTTTCTGAACAAGTCGCAGGGATGCAGGTGACGGCTATCACTCACTGCCCAACGAAGACAGCGATAGCCTGGTCGTGATATCCAGAAAGGACGCTTTCTGGGCGTACCTGCTGACCAACACACCGACTCCAATGGTCCTCCCTCCGCTGTTCTTTGTTTCCATGGTTGTTTTCACGCTACTCCCCCAAACCCTTTCCAGCTGATTCGGCGCAGTCTTGCAACTGCAGTTGCGCGAGTGAAGCCACTTTGTCCAAGCACCTTCAAACGCTTGGACGCTTCACCTTTCCGTTCTGTCACTCCTTTCCTTGGGGGCTATGATACTGGATGAACCTGTGACTAGGTGTGTATCGCTGTGTCTTCCCACGGTACACAGTGTGACCCTCTCGCAAGAGCGGCGTTGAAGCTATTTTTCGACTCAGCGTTCCTGCGTTCGTTGGATTATGGTTCCCTGAATCACTGTTTCACCCATGAAGCAACCGACAACAAAGCTGACGAGCTTACCGTTTCAATGCCGCCAAGCTTACGGTTCAAGAGTGCTTTTCCTTTCATGCCATGTGTTGCTTTCCATGTTTCTACTCACGGATTTCACCTAACATTCAATTGTCAATGACTCGATTGCGAACAGAGGCCACAATTTTCCACGACCTCTGAAGTGACTTTCGCCATTCGCTGCTGCAGCCGCCTGCCGCTGAGGAAGACAAGAGCGAGTTGCTCTCCCACCGCATAGATGCAGTTCCCGTGGCCATATCCATACCATCAACAGATGGCTCCACCAGCCACCTTTCCTTTTCCACATCAAGACAAAAAAGAGCCACGCGCTGCCACCAGGAAGCGCTGCAAAGCTGCATGTGTGCGCCACACTCTGCTTCCAAGAGTTTTGGGCTTTTCTGAACAATGTCGCAGGGGGCAGTGGACCGCTATCACTGACTCACTGCCCAACGACGAAGACAGCGATAGCCTGGTCGTGATATCCAGGAAGGACGCTTTCTGGGCGTACCTGCTGACCAACACACCGACTCCAATGGTCCTCCCTCCGCTGTTCTTTGTCTCCACGGTTGTTTTCACGCTACTCCCCCAAACCCTTTCCAGCTGATTCGGCGCGGTCTTGCAGCTGCAGTTGCGCGAGTGGAACCACTCTGTTCAAACACCTTCAAATGCTTGGACGCTTCACCTTTCCGTTCTGTCACTCCTTTCCTTGGGGACTCTGATACTGGATGAACCTGTGACTAAGTGTGTATCGCTGTGTCTTCCCCAATGCTCCGCAGCAAGAGCGGGCACTTTTCCGGAGTGCCTCACGGTTGCTCAAGTGAGGTACACACGACCCCACATGGCCCTTTGGCCGGTCACCGGGTGTGAAACCCATTCGCAACCTGTTTCTTTGCCATCCCAATGGACTCTGGCCAATTTCCATTGAATATAAGGCAACCCGCCTTGAGCATCACTTGCCACTTCTTGCAGGGCGGACCACACTTCTCCGCTGCCACCAAAACGGAAGCCTCGCGGCTCGAATCCTGGACCGCTGGGAGACCATGAAATAACCTGAGCCAACTGCGGAGGGCCTCCATCAATTCTTTGAGCGCGGCATCCAGAAGAACCCTCGAAGTACTAGGCCTTGATCTGAGGCTGTAGGGGGTGCAGACCTCAGCTGCAAAGCACAGCTGGACCAACAGGCGCGCAAAGAAAGCCCGAGAACACAGCCCTTTGACTGGCGAAGCCGAAGTGAAACCATTCGTGCGCACTGCTCTCAATAGAGCCTCGCCCTCAATAGGGCCACGCGTCGCTCTCAATGGAGCCTTGCCCTCAGTAGGGCCAACTGGACCTTCAACAAGGTCAGTTCAGTTGAAAGCACTAAGCTCTTGCCTCAAGAGGCCACACGCTAGTGAGAACACAGCCCTTGGACTGGTCAAGCTGAAGTGAAACCATTCGCATGCATTCCTCTCAATAGAGCCGCGCCCTCCAAAGGACCATGCGTTGCTCTTAATAGAGCCTCGCCCTCAATTGAAAAACACAGTCCTTTGACTGGTGACGCTGAAGTGAAACCATTCGCGCGCATTGCCCTCAATAGGGCCATGGGCTATTGCTCTCAATAGAGCCTCACTCTCAATAGGGCCAACTGGACTCTCAAGAAGGTCAGTTGACGCTGAAGTGAAACCATTCGCACGCATTGCCCCTCAATAGATCCTCACCCTCAATAGGGCCAATTGGACTCCACTAGTGACAACACGGTCCTGTGACTGGTGAAGCTGAAGCGAAACTGCACTACTCTTGATGAGCCGCCTCGCCCTCAATAGGGCCAACTGGACCCTCATGAAGGCCAGTTGAGGCACCAAGGTCTGTAGTCAAGACTCCACTGACCAGCCGCCACGACGAACTACCTTGCCTAGTGTTTTCAACACCATTTGGTTCGAACGACGGAAACTCCGACTTCAACCAAAGGGAAGTCCTGCGGGGGCGTCGCGAAAACCCGTCTCCGAATCGCTAGATGACTCACCTTGGACTCTGACAATGTCACCTTGCATCCTCGACCTGAACGTCCACCACGAGGAGGTGTCAGACGTCCTCTTGCGCTTCCCTTTCGAAACTTTGAGCCAGTGCAGCTCTCCATCTTTTCACCTCCCGAGGAGGGTGAGGCTTTGCGCTTCTTTGCCTTTTCTTTCTCCTTTTTCTCCTTCGCCTTCTTTGTCTTTCCCTCCTTGGGAACTGGCGTGCCCTTCTTCTTTTTCTTCTTCTTGCCAGCTGCCTTGACCTTTGAACTCTTCGCTGAGCCTTTCTTGCCAGTCAGGTCTCAAGGCGACTGACTTCATCACGGGCCTTAGCAGCTTTGCCTTCAGACCCTTCTTGTCTGAGCTCTCTCTGTGGAGTCACTACCTACTTCCTCCGACTCCTGAACACCTGTACGAACCCAGGGTAAGACCTCATTGCTCCTCTTCTTGTTCGGTTCCATGACCCTCTTCTTCATGTAGGCCAAGATGTCAGTTGCAGTGATCTTTTCAAAAGCCCATGAAGGAATCTTGTTGTCGAATTCCTTCAGGCTCAGCACCCTCAGCTCGCTCGTGGAGATGGAGCCCAGCGCCTCCACGATCATCGTCCTCTGGGCTTGACCATCATTGTCACGGATGACCCCTTCAATCACCTGCCCAGGGTGGAACTTGTGGCCGAACCAGGCCTCCGTATCACAACACCCCCCGCCACCCAACATTGGGGTTGCGGGGGGTAACACGGTTGCCCGAGCCCAAAGCTAGCGAGCGGTACGACATATCTTCGTTCCTCAGCAAAGGGGACCTTTGCTATCGACATCACTCGATACAATATTTTTCACTACCGAAACATACCCAAACAGTGTGGACACACTAGAGGTTTTTACGGTGTGGTCGACTAAGTCGCTGCCAGTTGATTACAACACATGCATGCCTCTTGAGATCTTAGATGTGCTTTTCGACTGCACAGGCTCGCACAGAATGCCTCCGCTTTTTGCTGCACGTTCGATGGAATCCTCGTGCTATGTGTGCTCTCATGCGGTTTCTCACATATGTGTGAGATCATGTGCATGTGCTCACATATGTGTGCTCTTATATGTGTGCTCTCAGTTTGGGGCCTCTCAACGGGACAACATTTATACATACATATTACATTATATATATATATCTTTTATACATATTACATATATATATATATGTGCACAGTATACATGCCACAAAGTCAGGACTTGAGAGAGGAGGGTGGTGAACGAAAGGTAGCAGGGAATCAGGCGTAATCCGGGAGGAGGTGAGAGGCCCCCCACTTGTTTGAAGAGAAGTGAGTGAGCGTGATGAAAGAAAAACTAATGCACAAGCGCTTGACAAAACCTCCAGAAGCTGTAGCGGTCTAGCGGTTTCAATACAGGTTGACGTGCCTTCAAAAGGAGTCACATATTTCTCAAATGCAACTTCGGATTTACATAGTGACGTGCGGCGACCCTGTAAATTGCGTGGCCGCAGGCCATGCTTGCAAACAGGACGTGCTCAAAAACACTGGTATTTACGAGGTTTCGTTGCCGTCGATCCACAGCCGCGGCAAGGTCTAAGGCCACGCTTGAAGACAGGAGGAGCTGAAAACACTGGTATTTACGGTATTTTGTAGCCGTCGATCCAAAGGCGCACCACGGTTGAGCGCTGGAAAAGCGCAGAAAACCGTGTAAATACCGGCGTTTTCTGCCGGGAAGGTGCACAAAACCCTGTAAATACCATAGTTTTGTGCAATTTTGAAGCCTCCAAAAGCCTCAAAAACCCTTTCTGACAAAATCTTTCCTGGTTTTTTGTCTTTTTTCGGTCATTTTTCTAACCGAGACGCATCAAAAACCATCGGTTTTTGCGGTGTTTTTTGCTGGACAGCCACAAAAAACGCTGTAAATTCCATGATTTTTGGTCACTGCTGAGGACTGGAAGAGCTGAAAACACTGATATTTACAGTGTTTTCGAACGGTTGACCCCGAGGCGCGCTAGGGTGGAGTTGAAAGGGGGGGGGGGGGGCCCCCCCCCCCGGCCGGCAAACGAAGATGTCGGGGACCATTTCTCCGAGAGATAGGCTGCAGCTCTGGGTTAATACATTTTTGCTAAAGCAAAAGGAAAACTCAGGTAGCGTAACCGCTACCTTTCGTGATGAGGAGCGTCTTGGCAAGGCGCGTCCGCAAACTATCGTGCGCTGGTACGCTGGTACGCTGATTATGCTGGTGCTCGGTGTACTTGGTGCCGTCAGTGTTATTGGTGCAACCCATGCACAAAAAATGTGGACGATGATTGCGCTAGCAATGAGGAGAGGCATGAGAGCACCGGACCGGAGTGCATTAGTGCATGCGACGTCCAAAACATTCAGACCTCTGGCTACTCAGGTCTTGAAGACCTATCCCCAAGACAGTTGGACATCATATTCTGCACTCAAGCCGCTACAGTTGAAGCCTTCCACTTCTCTTGCAACCTCTCTTTGTGTATGTTGGCAGTCTTCACTGCTCTGAAGCTGCTCTCCTCAGCCAAATGCTCCGATTGCAGTGCAGCATGCTAAGCATGAGTATTCATGAACGTTGGCAAAATGAGGCTCCAGTTAATTTTCGATTGCCAGGATTCTCTCTGAATTGGTCACAGGGACCCCTCCGACCTGTGCCCCCAAGATTCAGTTAAACTCAATTTGCTCGTCATTGGACAAAATGGCAAGCATGTACGATGTCGTGATTCTTGCAGCTGTTGTAGCTCACACAAAGTGATTCGAACCCTGCCTCCCAAAACTGCGCCAAGGCTACACCAGATTCTTCCGATTGGCCAACACCGTCTGTCTCGACCTTCTCACGGCGCCCTTCTTCGGAAGGTCCAGTTGTAAGCTGCGACCGCCTTAGAACTTGACAAAGAACACCTTGAAAACAGGCGGTCGAGCAAGCCCTGGGGACCAAACACGGCACGCAGCTCTGCAAGCAGGTCTGCCGTAGCTGATTTCCTTGGTGAGAAAAGCTGGAAACCGTTTGACTCCCTTGCAGGTTTGCAGCCACATCAGTTTGACCAGCGCATCCTTGGATGCCTTGTGGGCTGACTTGATTTCAGTGGCCACGTTTTCTCTCAATGATGAAGCACACGTTTGTGTCGTTGATGTTTAATTAGTCACATTAGCCCATGGGATGGGTGGAAATCTTTGGCCGGAGATTCGCTCAGCTTGCTTCAATCTTGACCTGTATTCATGTGTATGCAACATGGCTCAGTAAAATATGTGGGATGGGTGCTGCACATTACAGCACCACCTGGATTCAGCTGCAGGAGTTGCGCAAAAAAGGAAGTCAAGAACAAACAAACAACAGTCTAGAATTCGCTCTCTGGGTTGGGTTTCGAGGTGTAACAGGTTGCATTTCAAGCAAGTGGGCGCAGTGGCCCATACTGCTACCATTGAAGTATGCAAGAGCAGTTCATAGCTCCGCGCAGCAGAGAGAGATGTCGAGAGGGCACGGATCTACTGCACATGGTGAGCAAGCCATTGCTTGCTCGACGGTGTGTTGATCGTTGTGCTTGTCGTTCTTGAAGCCTGTGCCTGTGTGCTGACCTGCACTGGTTAATTTATGGCCCAGGGTCGATGGTAAATTTGGAGTCCGTTCACGCGTAAAGGTAAGTCTTGTGGGGTGCCACTCATGGGGATCGGAAGGTCAGAGCTTGTACTGGCTCAATGGGGCTTCGTGTTGCAGGCCTGCCCTCCTCTGCGTAAATGTTCACCCGGTTTACCAGCCCCAGCTGCCACCGTGACTCTAAAAAGTGTTGTTTTTTTCAATGGGATCTGCAGCCACAGCAGAATCGGCAATACAGCAAGGCATTGAAATCAAACTCGTGGCTGGGTGGAGATGGCAAGCACAAGCTGCCAGCAAGTAACCACATCACGTTGGCTGCATCAGTGGTAGAAACGTTAGGAGTTCCAGAGAACAACTTCCAGAAAGTGCAGGTTACCAGACAAAACTGGAGCAAGCACGCGGATCACATCAGTGTGTCAATCCTCGCACGGTCTATCTTTTGCACATCACAAACACCACCAGAAGTCTTAAGAGCAGGTCACCGCAGAGGTGACAGTTGCAGCGATCTTCTCGTGCAATGGCGGCCTCAATGAACGCTACACTGCATCGGGACGTGGGGGACCGTGGGGCCTGAAATTCTAGGCCAACCGGCCTACATCAAGCAACTCTAAAATGGCTGTCCGGCTGTCTCATCTCCCAGAAAGTAGCATAGCAAGGTGCTCAAAAGTGGCACCATGGGGAGCTGTTGGGTTTCCTGTAAGCTCCTGCAAGCACGTGAGACATGGCACGACATGACAGGAAGAAACACAACCCTCAAAGTCCTGCAAGCTGCTATGTATAAGTGCAAGTTGTTCAAACAATGCTGCTTGAACCTGAACCGTGAAGGTGGAAATGCACTGGGCAAGGAGGTGATTGAAATCGGTTTCTCATTTTTTCTACATAATCTGCTTCGGTGCATGTCGCTTTGATAGCTTGCTTACTGTCAACAGTGCGGAGCCGAAACGAGAGTCTGTACGCCCCGCCTCGAAGTCAAAGATATGCCTGGCACTGGCCACTTCAGCCTCGGCCACCCCATTCTGTGCCGCTGCTGGTAGCAAACGCCGCAGGTTCTCCATGTCACGTTCCTCGACTGCTATTCTCAGCTCCTAAGTTGACAAATTGTGAGCATGATTCTTTTTTAAGTCGGGGGTCGGGGAGGTAGGTCGTAGTACGCTTAAGCAGCCAGTCGCAAGGGGTAAGTAGAAGCTACTGGGCTTGGGAGCAGAAGGGTTCCAGGCTTCTTCCACAGGAAGATCCCCCCGCCTGAAGGCATTGTAGGGAAATGTCACTTCTAAAACCTAGAAGGAAGTGGAACTTCACTAAAGTCCCCCTAGGGAAACGTCATTTCGGCGTTTCACCTTGTCGCTCTTTGCCAAGGATCCCTCTGTAGCTCATCTGGCGGACGCCGGGCAGTCCGAAAGACTTGCTGCTCAGGGACTTCTATAGACAAACGCTCCTTTTAGCAGGAACTTCTCCTCAATGTGTCACTAAAAGCTGTTAGTTTGTACAACCCCGTCCTGTGAGGCTGCTGACCTCATTGTGGAAGCATGGCCCTTCATACAATGATAATCTCCGCTGCACATGCAACAAAACTGCAGTCTTCTACTTCGTCACGGTTGTAATTCCTCGATCAGTTGTAGCCAACCTAGTAGCTTCTTGTTACTAGTAGTAATGGCCTCCACCCTAGTAGCGATGGCCTCCAGCCCAATAGCGATGGCCGGCAATGGCCTCCACCCTAGTAGCGATGGCCTCTAGCCTTTAATTCGGCCAAGTAGCTGCACTCCACGCCGTAATCTCGGAATCGTTTTCGGCACATCGTCACCTCCACTCCAACGAGTTGGGGCACAACAGTTGAAGGGCTGTGCAATTCCTCACCTACAAACTACAAACAAATCTGTCAGTGGGCAAACATCTGGGCTTGCAAGCAACTGCGCCACAATTCACGTGCAAATCTCCCTGAACCATACTTGCACTGGTAAGCATCCGAGCAAAGCAGGTGAGGTCGAGAAAATCTCAAATGGTGGTAGACAATGGTAGACATATGATGTGGAAAGCTTGGAAATTTGACGCGCGCGCTCTCAATGAGACAGGGGCTGAACTGACCTATGACCTATATATTTCGGAAGTAGAATGTATTCACACCGATTGCCTTTTGCGTGCGCGGGCTGCTCAATGTGAGTTGAGGAGGGCTCTTGGGACAAACAAAAGCAGGTCACCTTCCGGCTCTGGTCGAAGGGCCCTCGATCAGTATGTGGTGCTGGCGTTGCGTCAACAAACTCAACTCTTGTATACTCTTGCGATTATTGAGTTAGTACGAAACGACTGAACAAACTTAACATTAACACAAGAGCAGTTGACATTGAAAGTGGACAATAGGGAATCTACTCAACAAATGATTGAACATGGTCATGGCCTCATTGTTGCTGGTCATACCTTCGTTCCAGTTAAGGAGCCTTCGAGTTGGTGGACTGGAGGATGCAAGAGTTGTGTAGCATATGTAAGGCCAGCAAAGCCAATGTAGTCTTCACGGCGTTTGCTTCAGGGCGTGCCACACCTTTGTTTCACCCTGTTTCTCATGAGAAAAGACTTCACTCCTGTTGCCTCTCTCTGCTCGTGGGCGGCGGCGTCCAAGTCGCGAATCTGCTGTCCTCGGCTGCCATTTCCTAAAGGATTCAAGAATGAGCTGCTTTCGGTGCGGCGCGGCACTCAGGAAGGAAATGGTGCGGACACATCCGGTTTGCACTCTCGCCCATCAGCTTGTGCAGCCAAAGGCGCTCTGGATGCGTCTCCTGCGCCCCCTCCAATGCAAAAGCTTCTGGCAGCAAAACCTTCAACGAGGCCATGCACAACCACACATTTTGGACAAACATCCCTGCGGGGTCTTATATATATATATAACCGGCCCCTCTTTTCTATGAAAAAGTGCAAATTCACCGCGCAGGCCATTTATTCTGGAGTGGGTAGTCTTGTCATTGTTTGTTTGATTTATGATGTTGAAATGCTCAAAGCCTGGGTTTTGAGTGTCAAAGCTTTGATATGTTTGATTGGGGGCGTCACCACGCCACACGACATGGGTCGTCTGAACATCTTGGCGAACATTGTCTGCCCTGTCCTTTTGAGCAAGTTCCGGTTCTTTTGCACGTATCGCCATTGGAATTGCCGAGTGCAGTGGAGGAGCAACAGGTTCACTTTCTTGTTCTTCAGCCGTTGTAAGCAACGGTAGACACGAAAGTAGGTCAGAAAAGCCAAAAGGCCAAAGGTCTTCTAACAGAACTGTTTCCTGAACAAAGAAAGAAATGGGATCAACCGGAGACGTCAACACTTCAACCAAAGAGTCTAGGTACAACTCATCCACAAGAAAGAATGGGGCCAACACCAGGGTGGTTCTTAAACGAGAAAAAAGAGACCTCACGTCGGCCCAATGAATGTTAATGCCCCCCCACCCACCCACCCCAAAAACCAAAGCCCTTCGATTGTTTTCACGAAGCGAAGATATACTGTAAGCACAATCAGAAAAACTGCAAAGAAATGAAGGCCGCTAACAAGCATACATGTTAGCATTAGTGTGCACAGAAAGTAGCATAAAAATAGCAACCGGTTAAGACCCCGCTAGCACAAACACTGCGGGGACGAACCTCTGTGAGAGAGAGAGAGAGGGGGAATGGGAGGGGAGAGAGAGTGCCTGGAAGGGTGCATGAACCAAACAAACCTGGCCAAAACAAAAAATAGGTCAAAGTGCACGACCGACACGGCCATGACCACGGAGTTCGAGTATTAAACAGGGGTCGGGCGGTCAGCCTACCCATCTCAGTGTATCCACACTTTCGATGAACGTGGCAGGACTAAGGAACTCCACACTTGGAGGAAGATTCGGTGGTCACCGTGGTCACCCATCTCGGAGCCTAGAATGGATCTTCAGAGGTCCAACGGCATCTCTGACTAGGCTTGCCACTTGCTCAACAAACAGTGAAATGGAACAATGCGAGGGTGATCAAGGGTGAATAGGTGAAGTTCCTAGAGTAAGGGCACACACATGGGGAGCACACAGGAGAACACACATGAAAGCACAGGTATGAAAAAGCACACATACGAGAGCTATGAATTCCCGACCCGACCTTGGCTCTCATGAAGAGGCCATGGTTCTGAAGGCATTCAAAATATTGCTTGCCTTGCACCTTGCAAGCCGCAATGCGCTGATCACAGCCACACATCACAGCTATTCATGCTGATTCAAATTGAGCATGCATGCAGAAATAGAGTGCTCCATCGGCTTGCAGCCATGGCGCCGTTCCATCATTCTTCCCCAAGGGCTTGTCCAAAGCTATGCCAACCCATTCTCCTTCAGAGAAATGGGTGGCCCCAACAAATTTCACTGTGCCAGCAAGCTTGTGGTCGCTGCAATATACCACACGCTGTCCGACCTCATCACAGGAGAGCTCGACTTGTCACACTGCCAAAAAGCAACACACTTAGTCACAGGGTTTGCAGTTATCATAATCCACAGTGAAATGGATGAGGGAAACGCACGGCGGCTGGGTCAGCAACATCACTTGAAGTGTTTGAACATCTGTTCGAAATCTCATGCAAATCAACAGCTGCAGAACGGCGCAAGAAAATGTTTGGGGGCAAATCATGAAAGAGCCATGGAAGCAAAACACAGCGCAGGAAAATTGGAGTCATATCATCCGCAGGTACAGGATCAAGCTTCCTTGATCCCTTCCCATCTGTGGTCATAGCTTCGTTGCGCGCAGTTGACCACAGATGCTGCACGCCCCTGCGTTTGTGTCTTGGGGAAACAAAACACAACTACGTGGTTGCAGCGACCAAAGCTTGTTCAAGGTCCATTGGGACCATGCCCCCACCTTAGGTGCACACACAGCGCGTGCGCTCCAAACCAGGCAGGTCTAGGTCTTCCTAGGTCTTTCTAATGAGGTTTGGTTTCATCTGTTCTGGACCCCTCCATTTGGTTCCCCCTTTCCTCTTTTCCCCTCGCACACATCTTCTTTCCTCTTTTCTTTCATGTCTTTCTGCCTTCATGTCTTGGCATCTCATCCCTTCTTTCTTTTGTGCGCGCATTGGTCCAGCCTTAGTATGTACGTGCACAGCTACATCAACTTCAAACCCAGGTTTCAGGTCGCCCAGGCTTGACAATGAGGTGGGGCTCATTTTTTTTGAACGCGTAGCGAAGGGTTCTCGTTTAACTGTGGGGGTCTGGGGGTAGAGTCTTGTTCGTGACCCGTTGTCTAGCGTTCGCAACCGTTCGCCGCCGTTCGCAGTACGACGCTAAGGCCGCTGCCATTGGGGGAAGGTTTTGGACACGGTTTGGCGTGGAAGCGTGATGTGTCATATTCGTGTGAAATAGCAAGGAATCGTATGGACACGTAAGATGTTGAAGTGTGGAGGATGATTTCACTGCGCAGGCGCAGCGTTTTGTGAGATTCGCTGTTTTCTGTGCAGTCACATCGGGATTAGCGTTTGGAGAGTGGTGTTTTTGGGGTGTTGGATGTGGCTGTGACATTGGGGTTTGCGTTTCAGGGTGTTGCATCGAAGCTCTGTTTTCGTGACAAGTCTCAGTTGAGATGGCGATTTTGGTGGATGGGAGTGTGCTCAGAACAGGCCGAAATCATTCCAAGCGTGTGGTGTGGTGCAAATTTTGTTGAAGCTCACATGATATGATATTGTCACTTTTCGTGGCAGGCCCAGTACCTCGCGCGGGCTTTGAGGTATGGAAGTTCCAGGTGGAGTTTCAGGATTCCGTCTTTTGGACTCCGCAGGTGTTGGACGCGGTGCAGGACGTCATCGAGGAAGAGGCTCTCTTCTACAAGCCGGTTCACAAGAGTGACAAGTGGGACTACATCGACATGGATGGTGTCCGCTGGCTCATCAAGTACCATGGTGGCACCAGAGTGCAAAGGTTCCATCCGGAACATCGCAGCTGCCCTGAGCAGATCACAGATCTAGAGTTCATGCGCGTCACTTTCGCATGGGAGGGGCAGGATATCGACAGCGATTGGAGGCGAAGTTTTCAATAATCCATCAAGTCTTGGCAAATAGCTCCTGGCGTAAGCCTCCTGCTGTCCAAAACCCCCGTTCCCCAAGCCGGGGAACATGGGAAAAAACCCATTCGACGGGTCCATAAGGGGGCACTCCTCGGGCTCACCCTGGGCTGGCAGGAAGCCAAACACACTTATGGAAATGCGTACTGAACTAAATGCCACACGGCAAACTAGGTAACCATTTTCCTGAGAGGCCCATGTAAAATCTGAAGATCCTGGAGGGTCCAACAAAAGGAGTGAGGCCCAAATCTTGAGTGTAGAGTCGATGCCTTAGCTGTTTCCTGAAAAGTGGGGTCACAGCTTGAGCAACAGCTCAAAAAGAAGCAGGTACGTGGAGCTGATCAGACTCCACATCTGTCGAATCTGTCGTGGCATAGCCCTCTTCGTTGGGCAACCAGCTATGCTCACGAGGTTGCCCCCCTGCTGAATACAAAATCAAAGCCAAAAACAAAATCAAAGGAATCCCTGTGAAGGGTTACACACACATGATGCAACTCAGTGCCTCAGGAGCTCCAGTTTCCACCCATGGCGGATGGGGAAGCCTGACTCAACGGACTCAAGGTCCTAAAAACATGTTCCAACATCTAGTCACCTAGTCAACAAGTTTGTTTGAGGTTGTGACGAAGTCATGGTAGCACTCGCATCCATGCACGTGGTCAGCAACTCCCGATCTACAGCTAGATGATCCTTTCCAGCTACTTGTGCCACTGCTAAAAAAGGACGACAAGCCAACCAAGGGCCGTGTGGTGACCAGTCACGCTTGCCCTGTCAAACAATCTTGCCGGACATAATTCGCAGTGAGATGCTGTGGCAAAACATCACTCCATATCCGAACAGGACGGACTCCTCCCCCAAATAAATGCGCAAATGCGCAGGTGTCCTTCATGACAAAAAGACTGACGCGCAATTTGCAAGTATATGGGCGTGTGCTTTGGGCACCAAGCCAAGCACTTCACTGAATGCATGAAAGGCACAAGCCAACAAGCTGAGCTGGCGGTGGCTCTGCGCTGCGCAAAAATTTAAAACAACTGGTAGAACTTGGCGTTTTCTTTTGCCAACTGCGCGTGGGATCCATACGCTTCTTTGTTTTCCATTTTGCCTCTTTCCCTCGCACCCCTGGTTCCCTTCCCGCATCCGCGCACACTTTCACATTCACATTGCAGCAGTAGAGCGTTTGGCAGCCTTCTGATTTCTTTTGGATTTTCTTGCTTGGATGATTCGATGCACTTTTACGTTTTGTCGTGTCAGTTTCATGTTTGTTCTTACGATTAAGTTTTTCTCGTGGTAATCACCGTCCTCTTGCATTTTCACCATTTTGACATTAATCTTGCTGCTGTTGACCTTTTGTTTTTTACATGCTTTTACTGCTTTCTTGATTATTTGATAATTTTTAACGTTTTGAATTGCCACGCAAGTGAAGATCAGCTGTTTCGATTTCCAGTTCGATCCTAATTGGCACCAGTTTTGTTGGGCCGATGACCACCCTCTCAACTACATCTCTCCTTCCTTTTTGCCTGCGCCCTCCAGCGACGTCTCAGTCCGGGCGTACATCACACATAGAGACTCAGGAGGCATGTGATGGGTCACACTCTCCTCCTCGACTCCCTGTGATTCTTCTCTCTCTCTCTCTCTGCTTGCTCTCTCTCTCTCTCTATCTCTCTCTCTTCCTCTCTCTCTCTTCTCTCTTTTCTCTCTCTCTCTTCTCTCTTTCTCTCTCTCTCAACAGGTTCTAGCCTAATTGGCTTCAACGCCAACCAACACACATGATGATTTGTGTACCAGTTCCAGATTTGGCTGCTGCCCTGCTGCCCTGACTCAAAAAGCCTTCATCGAGGGAAGGATGGACACAGGGAAGGAAATAGAGAAACAACAGAGAAACAAAAGAACATATGCCGACGTTTCTTTCATGACTGCGTTATTTGCAAGGTGCCTGATCTCGTGTTATGTCTGTGATTCTCTGCGTGTTGCACTTGCAAGTTGGTGAGACATCTTTTCCCTGTTTGTGCTGCCGTCATCATTGACACAAATTTCTGGGCATGGGCCTTACCCACGTGTGGGCCAATTCCAAACTGTGAACATGGCGCCCTTCATGAACTATGGCATGAACCAAAATACAAGTCGGACAAACACAGCCAGCTTGGACCCGCACCATGCAAGCACCCCAGCCCTTTGCACCATATGCTAGGCCGCTAGGCCCGCACCCACACAATACCAACCTGCAGACCTTGGCACTTTTAACTCCCATGGAAAGCAACCAGGGCGCCCAACCGCCCCAGCAGACTGACACTACCCTGAACCACGGCACAGCCCAACCGGGCCAACCCAGGCCGAGACTCGGCGGCAATAGTTTGACCCTGGATGAAAATGATTTGAGCGAGGCGTCTTCTTTGGGGTTGAAGATTAATCTCCAAGCGCCCAAGCCTCAAGTGCAGGAAGTGGTAAACTGGGCGCGTTCCAACCTCGCCGCGCAATACAAGAAACCAGGGCAGAAAAGCGAAAAGGAGTTGACCAAACAGCAGGTAGCGAAAGAGAACCTACACAAAAACTACCCAAGCGAACTAGCGTTCACTTTGCAAACTACCATTTGCAGACCTTTGAGCAGGATGCTTCCACCGTCACGCTGTGGCCCTAATGGGATGAGCCACTCGCCCAATTGTCAGCCGCAGCAAGGCTTCCGCTGAACTCCTTGTTTTTGTTCCTGGCCTGCGTGAGCAGTTTCGCTGGACAATTAGGGCCACCTGCAAACCATAGTTTTGCCACCATGTTTGCATTCAGATTCGCTTCCCTGCTGTTGTGGAATCCCTTTCGGCTTCACCTTTCGCTCACGATTGCTCTCTCGTACAGTACTTGCAATCCTTTCCTTGCAGATTGTGGCCGCATGTGACAACCATGCCTACCCCGCTGCATGACAAAGTCTATGCTGGCAGAACCATCAATTCCGAAAGATTTGCCACCAAATCATCCCGGCATACCACACGCTCCGACTTCGTGCCTCACATGACTTGCCACCAGTTGCATCCTTCTTCACGCTGCCAGTTGTCTCCATTGTTGGGTCAACGTCAGAGTCAATTGTCGCCTTGTCGCTGACCGCGTTTTCTTGGCAAACTCTTCTTTCACATTGAACACTCATCATGTCTACAAGCACTTTCCCACATGTTTTCTGTTTCGACGGAACTTTGTTGGAACAATTTCTCTGCAGACCGGCGGAGCACATCACCATCGTAAGCACGGCTTAACAAGGTACAGTCAGGACGGGCGTGCCGCCAAAACCTTGCTACGCACCCCTGCCGAACCAGAGGCTGCCACCACGCTGGGGCGAATGCTGGGCGTGCTCTGCTTCCATCGCCAAGGCCGTGCACCCAAACGTGGTTTCCACTTGCTGTTTGTGACAAACGGCCAGGCAATGATTTGTTGCTGCAAGTCCACACGTTGGCAGACAGCAAACCTCACCAGAGCGAAACATTGCGCAGGCCCCGCCAAGCAGTTTCGCAGTCCAAACCCTAAAAATGGCACAGCTGACACGCCAGCCCACATGGCACAAACAACGGCCTCGACCTTGACCCAACATCGCCACCTCACGACTCCCTGCGCCTGCCACCGGCACACGCTCGGGAAATGCATACGGAACTGAAAGCCACTTGCCACACGCCCACCTAGGTATGAAAGTTTAAGAAGTCAAGGTAGAAGTATGTAAGACGGTGTGACCACGAAACCACCACGACATCCAAGGATCTCGAAATTTTTGCAAGGCGGACGACCGCGACAGGATGACGACGACCGCTCACATCTGCAGGAGCGCCTTAGCCCTTCAAGAGAAGAACGTCGGAGTGATCAGCTCCAATATCCTCCCAACTCATGAGCAGCTTCGTTAGCAGCAGGCTCATGATCAGGTTACTGTTTGCGCAGCATTTGAACTAGCATTTGAATAACCGAAAGGCCCCTGTGACTCCAAGGGCTTCACACACACCCGTATGGGGAAGCAAGAAAAGCTGTTTTCTAAGAGTCGGGCAGAAAGGTCAGAATGGTCAGTCCAAAGCTACGCGCTCAGTCTGTTTGGGGAAAGCGGCCAACGGCCAACGGCAGGCGGATTTGGCCAATGACATCGCCATGTAGACAAGAGGGTCGAGGAAGGGGTCCCCAAGTATGGTACCGCAGACATTCATCGCTTTATGGTGGCTGTTTGATGTTGAGGTTTTTGAGGTCTTGTTCATTGAGTGTTTGCAAGCCAACGGCCCGCTCAGGACCATTGCGTTTCTGCTAAGAGGAAGAGGCCTCACAATTGACAGTTTGACGTCACGTGTTCCATTCCAGTGTGACCATCATTACATACAACACACTTTTCAGTAAGCAAGAAAGCTTTGAATCTCTTGCAAGTCACCACACTCAAATAACCTACTAATATAGTTTAGTATTTTAATAATTCACATTGGCTTGCACACGGCGAGGTTCTTGAGATCATTGGCTTCATCATCACAGCCAACAAAGGTTGTCCCGACCTCATGCCCAGAACCAAGCCAAGAGGTGGCGAAGCCGGCTGGTACGAAGCCAGACACACACGAGAAACGCGTACGGAACTGAAAGCCACTTGCCACACGCCCACCTAGGTATGAAAGCCAAAGAAGTCAGGGTAGAAGTATGTAAGACGGTGTGACCACGAAACCACCACGACATCCAAGGATCTCAAAATTCTCGCAAGGCGGACGACAGCGACAGGATGACGACGACCGCTCACATCTGCAGGAGTGCCTTAGCCCTTCAAGAGAAGATTGGAGTAACAGCTCGGGAACACCACAAATTGGACTGCAGGTACGTCGGGGCGATCACCTCTCATACCCTCCCAACTCATGAGCAGTTTCGTTGGCAGTAGACTCATGAGCGGGCGACTGCCCCCTGCACCTTAATTACCCGAAAGGTTCCCTATGACTCCAAGAGTTTCACACACACACAAAGCACTGCGTCTGCCACGAAAAGTGACTATGCCCCACCTTGACATGTCTAGGAAAACTTGCAACACTAGATGTCGGGAATGACTTGCGCACTTTCGGAGCACGCAGATATCAGCCAAAACCGCAATGTTACCTGAGACTTGCTTGTCAAGAAACACAACTTTGAGGCAAGCTCTTTAAAGGCATATCCCAACGCCACCCCCAGACAACCACCCTGCGAACGCCAATCTGAATGGCACAGCGACGCAAACTGCAGACCTCGCCAAACGCTCCACCTGAGCGGCAAAATCATCCTCCACACTTCAACCTTTTGCGTTTCTACGCGTTGCGGGCGGTTGCAAATAAAGCAACGTCACGCCAACACGTTTCCGCCCGAGAAACGAGAACCCTTCGCAATGGAAAAATATTTCTTAACATGCACAAGCAAGCACGCAAGCAAGCAAGCAAGCCAGCGAACGAGCGAGCGAGCGAGCGAGCGAGGGAGCAAGCATGCTAGCCGAGCAAAAAGACAAACATGCCAACAAGCAATCAGCCAACCAACCACCCTTCCAATTTACCTACCTTTTTCTACTGAATCTATATACCCAACAGAGCTACCAAGCAATCAACGAAACAGAAACTGCCAAAGAGATGCAAGACCTATGCAAGCGCAATCAGTCTTCCTAGGGGGACTGGGTGGAGCACAGCCCGCATTCAAGCGGAGGGTATTGGAAGGCTTCAGCAACTTCACTTCTGAGTTTGAAAGACTTTCATCTAGGTCTGGCGCGTTTAATCCTGCTTGTGAAGGCAATTGAATTTGCTAGTTGGTTGCTGTGATAGAGATTTTGCACTTCGTCGAGGAGGTCTCTTTCATTAGGCCAGCAATGAACAAGGCAAGTATATTTCATATATATATATATATGTATAACCTAGCTGAGGACATGCAAGCAACCAACC